TTCGAGTCCCCCAAGTTTGATCCGACAGGATTTAGAAAGGGCACCTAAAACCTATCGAACCCTACAGAAACCCTTATAGATGCCCGTAAGGAACCCTAAATGGGACCATTCTGGATCCCTTTAAGGACCCAAAAACGAGATCCAAATTTAGAGAACTACCCCAAACCCTGAACCCTAAACCCTGAACCCTGAAACCTGAAACCTGAATCGCTGAACCCTGAACCCTCAACCCTAAACCCTGAACCCTAAACCCTGAACCCTCAACCCTAAACCCTGAATCCTAAACCCTAAACCCTATACCCCACACCCTAAACCACCCAATGGAGCTTCGGGTCGGGTCTTTAGGGTTGTTTAGAGGTTCAGGGTGTAGGGTTGTCTAAAGTTTAGGGTTTAGGGGTTTAGGCTCGAGGCTTCAGGGGTTTGGGTTCAGGGTTCCGGGGTTTTAGGGTTATGGGTTTAGGCTTCCGAGACTCTCGTGTAGGATCCCGACTACGCCCCTTCGGGACCAATGTAGAGTTTCACATGGTTGGAAAGTATGATGACGTGGCATGGTTTCAACTAACGAAAAACCCAAAACCCTAAACCCCAAACCCTAAGCGATGATACCCTATAGCCCTAGCCACGAAACCGTTACTTTGGCATAGACCGTGTTGATCCCAATGAAGCCCAAAATCCCCTACGTAAAACCTTAGCGGCCCCGAAACCACTAAAACCAGAAACTTGAAACCCTGAACTTCGTAAGCCCCCCCGCCGAGGTTTCCTGACTCAGAATTCCAAAGACTGTAGACACTAGAGACCTTAAACCACTAAAGTCGCAAACCCTAAACTCTCTAAGGGGGGCTGCTATTTCAATATCTTGGAGGTTCAGGTTTTAGACGAGCCCGTAGATTCAAGAACCACCCGTAAGCCGTACGCGCCCAAGACACGCTCTAATCTTTCGGGTGTTCACATTGGTAGCGCCTGCTAGGTTTGCGAAACTCACGGACCTTTTTAATCCCTACACCCAGAAATGACGAAGGTGTTACGGACATCAAAGACATTCACACATGCACGCACACGCACACTCACGCGCGCACACACACACACACTTACTTACAAACACAGAGGGGCGAAGTAGGGATCGGATACATGCTACAGGCTCTATGTAGCTTTGCAGCCCACGCTGACAACTCCCACCGCCTCGGACACTCCTGCAAAAGGATTAAGTCCTTCAGCCGAAGCATCGCACGGGTCTTTCGCAGCCGGAAACACCTGGATTTTTGTTTTTGGGGTTCCTTTCCATGAACCCCCCAAAAAAGGAACCCTTCGGAGTAGGTCTTCTAGGCCACGGTTTAGGGTTTAGGGTTATAGGGTTTAGGGTTTAGGGTTTAGGGGGTCCTTATTTACGGGTTGGTTTATACCCAGAAAAGAGCTTTAAACTAGCTAGGCCTTTGGGACATTGTTATTTTCCCTTATTGGGGTTAAGAGGATCGTATTTACGAGTATTTTTCAGAAGCTTTGAGGGGCCAACCTAGTAAACCCTAAACCCTAAACCCTAAACCCTAAACCCTAAACCCTAAACCCTAAACCCTACAAGAAGGAGGTCTCGGACTCTTGGGGTAAGGTTTCATTGCAACGTCAATAAACTGCCGGAGCCCCCCAAAAAGCATTACGTGTTTCACAATATAGGGTTTAGGGTTTAGGGTATAGGCAGGGCTTAGAGTCCATAGAGTCTGGCGCCATGGTTTTCGTGCAGACATGCGGCACCCATCCGCCGCATTATTTGGGGCCTCCTGGCATGCTGGCCTAAAGCCCCAAACACTTAAACTTGGGGTGTAGAGTTAAGCCCTTAAGCCCCCAAACCCAAACCCTTGAGCCGTAAATCCCAAAACGCCCAGAACCTACCTATAGTCTCCATTGTAGTTCTTTTTTGGGGATACCTTATAGGATCCGTAACATAAAACCGAACGATCAATTGAAGGTAGGGCTCGTTTCATAACGACCTTTTCAAGGCTGGTTTGTGAGTGGTCGAGGAGAGCGTTGCCCGTGATTGGGGTGTCTTAGACTAGAGGTACCCTAAACCCTGAACCCACCCTATTCTCATTATTGGCAACTGGCAGTTCGCTGAGTAAACAGATCTCAACAGATCTGGACAGGAATGCAGGGGCCTAAATGATTACCAATACTATTTTGGGGGGCAGGTGCGCCTCATTATAAGTATAGTCTAATGGGCCCCAAAACCGTATTCTAATTATTGAGGGCCCTACAGTACTCCGGCTTTTCGTGGTCTGCGCTAGTCACTACCTTAAGGACGACATGAACCTTAAAAGGGCTTAGGGTTCATATTGCCATATAGGGATTCATAGTATAAGGTATGGTAATCAGAGCTCTCCCTCTAGGAAGCTGAGATCTTGGACCTCTTGAACCCCAAATCTGTCATCGTTTTGGGTCTAGGGGTTAGGGGGGTTCGGGTTTAGGGTTTAGGGTTTAGGGTTCAGGGGTTAGGGGGGTTTGGGTTTAGGGTTTAGGGTTCAGGGGTTGAGAGGTTTGGGTTTAGGCTTTAGGGCTTTATCTCCGATAGAATGTCTAGTTCAAAAATTTCAAGCACTTCCAGAAGGCTGCACCATTGGCAGGCGCCACCCTGTGCTGCAAACCCTTCCCTAAGGGTCCATGTACTCATACAGTATATACATTGGCCCCAAAGTATCTATATAGGGACTACTTTAAGGCCAAAGTATATACTATTTGGGTACATGGACCCTCAGGGCTTGAAGCTACCAACCGTCAACCTCCGATAGACTGACTCCAGCTTAAACCTTCAGCATCTTTCCTGAAGTCTGCACAAATCTAAGGTAGAACCCATGGGCCCCTAGTATGGGCCCTTAACCCTGGGACCCTAATATACCTACTATATACCCCATTTATACCCTTAAGGGACCCTGGAATCCCCTAAGGGCCCATGTTAGGGGCCCATGGGTTCAACCTTAGAACAAAGGGCTGGCTCCTTTGGTCCGCGGCGGCAGCTGTTCTGTTGTTGGCTGCGCTTTATCAAGCTGTGCTATCTGCAAAGGACTGGCAGCTAAGGGTTCCAAAAGGGTTTCAGAAGGGTTCTACAGGGTTTAAGTTTCACGGCTTTGGGGGTTTAGTTTTGGGGTTTTGGGTTTAGGGTTTAGGGTTTGGGGCTTTAGGGTTTAAGGTTTAGCGTTTAGGGTTCCAAAAACCCAAAAACCCCAAAGCCCAAAGCCCCAAACCCTAAACCCAAAAACCCTAAACCCACAACCCTAAACCCTAAAACCCTAAACCCCAAACCCAACAACCCTAAACCCTAAAACCCAAAGCCCCAAGACCCAAAACCCTAAAGCCCATAAACCCTCTAGGCCCGGGACCTCAATGTCTCTGTAACTCCCACCATCCCCCAAGCCAGGGTTTAGGGTTTAGGGTTTAGGGTTTAGGGTTTAGGGGTTTAGGGTTTAGGGTTTAGGGTTTAGGGTTTAGGGAGCCCTTCGAAGCCCCCCCGAATCCTACGCCCCGACCCCACACCCCCCCCCCACCTCCCGGCCCTGCGAGGTTCACCTGGTTTAGGGTTTAGGGTTTAGGGTTTAGGGTGACCATACTTTCCTTAGTTTGGGGGTCCTGAAGGTCATGCAGGATTGAATTATCAGTGTAGTGTTTCGCTAGTCAGACTACCAGGACCCTCCTTCTACCCTCAAAGAGGAGTATAGGGTCCCAAATAGTGGGGCAATTAGGGTTTAGTCGAGGATAGAGGGAGGGTCTAGGTATCCAACATCATTGCTTTGAACCCTAAACCCTAAACCCTGAAAACTGAACCCTGAACCCTAAACCCTAAACCTTGAACCCTCAACCCTAACTATGATTGGCATCAGGTTGGAAGTCCTTCAAAACATGATAGGAGACAAGATGCATGTCCGAAGGCCCGAGGGATGTTGGCGTTTTTGGACAAAGCTCTAAAAAGCCTCCCAGAGAACCCAATGCCCCTTTAATTCCCAGAGAACCAAGGAATATCCCTTAAAATATAGGGGCCTTAATTTTACGATTTAAGGTATATTCCTTACTTAATTTTACGATTTTAAGGTATATTCCTTACTTAATGGGCATCGGGTTCTCTAGGAAAAGCCTTGCAGGAGATGGACCTTCCAGAGAAAATGAGCCTCAAGTTGGCTGCCCGGTGCCCTGGCTGCCTTGGCATTCCCAGAGGGTCCGAGGACCCAAATAGTAGAACATAAGCCCTAAAGTACCCAAGTAGGGACTACATTAAGTGAAGGCCAATGTTCTTCTATTTGGGTACATGGACCCTTAGGGATTGGCATTCTTTGGGGTTAGTTCTCTGAGTTCGGGTCACTTTTGGGGTCCTTTCACAAGGGTGCTGAAAAAGGGACCATAGTCTAGAGAAAAACCGCCTTTTAACAAATTGTTTTCATCTTCATACTTTTCAGCACAGTCTTGCTAATTGTAGCTGCAATCATCATCATCATCATCATCATCATCATCCTAGTCATCTAGCAATCTGGGCCTTTTCCAGGCTTCGCGGCTTTCATATTGTCCTGTGCAGGATCAACCGTGGTGTGGCGCGCTCTGTGGTTGTCTCTCCGAGAGCCGATGGGATGTTAGGGTAGCCCATAGCAACAAGAACCCACCCTAAACCCTAAACCCTAAACCCTAAACCCTAAACCCTAAACCCTCCCTGAGTGTGGTTCTGGCTCAAGCGACTCAAGCGGCCAAAGTTGGCTAAAGATCCTCCCACTTTGGCAGAATGGATCGCGGCTCCTGGCTCGGAGAGGAAGGCGTTGTGCCCTTCAACCTCGCAGTGGCGATTCTGCTCACAAGTTTAGGGTTTAGGGTTTAGGGTTTAGGGTAGTATCTTCGTGTGCTCTTGTGGACGCCGTCGCATGCAAGGGATCCTACGAGTGCGGAGTGGCCGATATGCAGGGTGTGTCGTGTCCTGAGTGTCCTGTAACCATGGACAATTCGTGCTTGCTGCACAAGGATCTGCCGGAGTCAACATGGATTTTGTGCCATTTGGCTGTAACAGATGGTACGTCGTTTCGCAGGGCGCCTACTTGTGGGTCAACGGTGGGGCCATTGAGATGTTGCCCGAGGAAGGTGCAGTTGATCATCGCATGGAGTGTGAGTTCAAACATTTCAAGACAACGAAGTCTGGATTTTGCGACCCCGATGTGTCGTCTGTCGGGTGCCTGCAAGGGGGCGTCCCATATCTGATCTCTATATCTAAAGGGCAATATCTGACAGTGGATGGTAATCGCCTCGTTTCGCGTGACATCAACCAGGCGGCATCCTTCCAGATCGAGGCAAACATCGAAGTGAAGCATGCGAGCCCAATAGGGAAAGCTCTTGGTTGGTAGGCTCTCGTGCTATGCCAATTGGGCAGGAGGCAGCATGGCTTTGCGTTCTGGATTGAACCGTAGCCTCGCATTGACATGTTGGCTAGGGCGCTGGTGTGCGTTCCACGATGAGGCTACGTTATCTTATGGAAAAACAGAGCGGCTCCTAAAACAGGCGAGGGCTACGAGGCCTGAAACATGCAGCTGAGCTGAGTCTTGACAGATCCGTCAGTGTGACTACGGCTGAGTGCGTAATATTCTTCATACTGCCTCATCCCCGAACCCAAGGTAAAAGCTAACACAAGCCTCACCCGAATAACAAGACAGTTTTGCAGAAACGCCCTCTTACTGGTTAGAAAGCCGAACACGAGGGTTATGAGTGGTGATACCAGGAGCTTGCGTTTCCCAATCTGAGCGGTGCAACAGGGTTTTGGGGCTAGGAGGAAGCTGAGGATCCAACTGACAACTGCAGTTTCGGGATCACTAGCAAGACCCTCAGGCAAGAAGCGGGCGCGCCATCGTGTCTGGATCGCTGGATGCTCATCCGGCCGCAGATATGAAGGGCTCATCAAACTTGAGCCCCTACTCAGAGCTAAACCTTAAACCCTAAACCCTCAATCGTCATAGAATTGGGGTACCTATTCAGAGGTCTTTCTCCAGGTTCACATTGGGCTTGGGCTTCTGGGTGCAGGCCCACAGGTTGCTGTTAGGTTGAGGCTTTAGGGTTTAGGGGTTCAGGGTTTAGGCTTTAGGGTTTAGGGTTTAGGGGTTTAGGTTTTAGGCTTTAGGGTTGAGGGTTTAGGGTTTAGGGGTTCAGGGTCCAATTGAATCTAATCTAGAGGCCTAAATAATTACCAATATCATTTTGGGGTTTCTTATTATATTTATAGGATAAAGGGCCTCAAAACCATATTCTAGTTTTTAAAGGCCCCTATATACTATGCTTCCGTTCCTCTTTCGTGGGCTTTTTCTCAACCCAAAAGCTGCACTCTTAGGATGTTTGGGTGTCTCAACCTGGGCAATCCTGTAAGGGTTTAGGGTTTAGGGTTTATAAGGTTTAGGGTTTAGGGTTAGGGCCTTTAGGGTTTAGGCCGGCCCGAAACCCAAAACCCAAAACCCCACAAAGCTTCCAAAACCACCTCTTCGGTGAAGCTGCGAGTTCGCCACAGTTTTTGGGGAGCGCCGACGGCAGACGGAAAAGTTACAGGTCTTCTCTGAAAAGCAAGAGCCCAAAGGGTCCTAGGCACTGTTATGGAGGATACTTTCCCAACTCATAAGGGTAATTCCTGATAGGGAACCCTAAATTCTACTGTAGAATATAGTAGGTACTTACGTAGACCATGGAATAGACCCTAAGTGCCCATTAATTCGGACCATATACCCCTGTTTGAGGGTACAAGGAGGGTCCTGGTAGGAACCTTTGAACCCTAAACCCTAAACCCTAACCCCTAAACCCCCTAAACCCTAAACCTCTAAACCCCTAAACCCTAAACCTCGAAACCATAAACCTCTAAACCTCTAAACCCCTAAACCCCTAAACCCTAAACCTCTAAACCCCTAAACCCTAAAACCCCTTGGGGGAGAGAAGTTCCAGGTTTGCCAGCTGCTCTTTGTCCACCGGCTGCGCCACGCCGGATTTCCAGTTTGCCGTGACCTTCTCCGGCCCAACCTTTGCCCCCGGCCCCTGGGCAGAAGGCGGTTTTTTAAGGCTTTACAAGGTTTAGGAGCCACTGCGTGGTTAACGATCGTTTACATGGATGCACCTTGAAGTCTTGAAGAAATGGATTTGAAATTGCCAATTTCTTTTCAACCGTGTCTCGCGCCGCCAAACCTGTTTTTGTTTTTTAGTAGGGTCCTCCGAGACATGAACGAAGGGTTCCGCAGACGTTACTGACTTTACCGTCTAAGCATGTATGCATGTATGCATGTATGTATGTATGTATGTATGTATGTATGTATGTATGTATGTGTACATATATATATATAGATATATATATATACATACGTACATGTATGTGTGTATGCCGACGCACATGTTTTTGGTTGGTTCACACGCGCGCATGCATGCATAAATACATCCATATGCAAATACATAGGTTCACACATGTCCGCAAATGCTCAGACTCTTCCACGGTTCGATGCATGCAGAAACATGCATGCGTGCATGCATGCATGCATGCATGCATAGATACACATGACAGAGAGATGGATGGCTAGTTCGGTAGGCAGAGAGGCACAGGGAGAGAGGAAGACAGCCGGATAAGTTTGTCTACCACCGCATCATACAAACCACAAATCAACAGGTGTAGATAATGACATTTCTCTCTCTCTCTCTGTCTCCCTCGCTCCGTCTCTCCCTCTCTCTCTCGCTCCCTGTTTCTCTCTCCCTCTCTCTCTTTCCCTCCTCTTTCTCCGTATCTAAAACCTGAGCACTTACAAACACACGCGCACATGTTTATATATATATATATATACGTAAATATATATATATATATATGATATGTACTGTTTACACATACACATGCATACAGGGTTATATATGTGAAGTACTCTTCGTTCGGACACTCAGACTGAGGTGCAGGTTGGTCCATGCTCCAGGACCTGCTGAAGCAGCGCCTTAGATGATTGGGGGGTTAGGGTTTAGGGTTTAGGGTTTAGGGGCTTTGCAGCTGCCTGCAGGGATATCGGTGGCATCATGGTTGAGGATCCAGGGTGTAGGGCTTTAGGCTTTAAGCTTCTGGGTTCAGGGTTTGAGGTATTTAGGGTTGGGTTTCTTTGGGAAAGGGCTCTTAGGAATTAAGCACTTCCAGGCCGCTGGATCAATTTGGCGTTCAGTTGCAATGGACTCCACAGACTAAACCACCGCCGCTTTGATCCCGATGTAGAGTAGAACTCCCTCCTCACCCCCTCACCTCAAAAAACACACACAGCACAAAAAAAAACAACTATACCTGATGCCTAAATACATCCCGAAACCCCAACAGTCCTGAAACCTCCAACATCCCAAACAATACTGCGAACTCCCCAAAAGCATGACGATCGTTGGGACTACGGGGATAGCAAGGAACATAGCTTGAACCTTAGAGGGTTTAGGGTTTACAGGCCTATTTTGAGTGTGCTGTATAATCGGGAAGCCATCGTTTTGTACTTTGCTTGTTATTTTGAGGGCGAGCAATGACAACTGCCGTGCTTTACATACCCAGAGACTCCAAAACCCCTTAATTAAGGAATATACCTTAAATCATATTAGGGATCCTACTATAATTTTACGGTATGTTCCCTAATTAAGGAGTATTGGAGTCTCTGGGTAGCTCTCTGAGCCGGCTCAGGCATATTCCGAAGTCGCAGATTCTCTTTGAGGCCAACTTCCCTCACATGACTTTCGCCTACAGTTGCTCCTCAATCGCAACAAGTGTTTAGGGTTTAGGGTTTAGGGTTCAGGGTTCATCAATCTAGACGGCCGGAAAAGCGGGACCCTAGAACCGGGACGAGAAGGGGGTCTACATAGAAGGCACTTCCTTTCCTACGGGCGGACCATTACCAGTTCGAGCGTGCGGGCAGTACACACTGTTGGCCTGGCTGTGTATCCAAAATTTGACCCTGGGCGTGGGTCTCTTTGTGGATAATCTAGGCTCGGTCCGATGGCTTCCTGAAGCAATTCCTGGAGTTTTTTATGCTAGAGAGTGTTCGGAAAGTCCAGGTGAGCTCTATTTGGGCGTAGCGCAGGGCCTCACTATCTCACACACACATAATGTAGGGGCCTTAGTAATTAGAAGAGGGTCTGGGGTGTGTGTATATATATATATATATCTCTCTCTCTCTCTCTGCCTCTCTCTCTCTCTCTCTCTGTCTCTCTGTTTATACACATACATATATATATATATACACTTGTTATACAAGAGTTATCTTAAAGAACCCCCACAGCATTCAGGCCCCGGCAATATCCATTTCTCTCTTCTACACTCTGAGCCGTCGAGCCTTCAACCCTAAACCCTTAAAATATGGACCCTTAGGCCTTTCTAGGGACCCTTAAGGGTTCATATAGGGTATAGAGTGGGTATATACCCAGACCTCCAAAAGGATCTAACAAATAGATCCCCTAATTAGGGACCCTAACTACTAAAGGGTACTTTATAGGAACCCCCTTAGGGGATCTATGTTTTAGATCCTTTTGGGGGTCTGGGTAAGGACCCCACCTACCGTCCCAGGCTGCAGCCCTGGCGAAGCTGGCAAAGGGCAGTTTCTGGAAGCCTTGGGCACTTCGGTCGAGGTGAGAAATAAGAACTACGGGCGAACTCTATGTTAAGAAAACTACGTTGCTGTTCCAGGGTCTAGGAACTTTCTTAACAGAACAGGCCGAATAAGAAATAAACTTCCCTCCTGAGAGTCTGGTGTACATTTCTTAATTGCATTCCCGATCATCGCCCGTAAAGTAAATCAGTTCACAAACCACCATTTTGAGCTTCCCGCACCTTTAAAAACAATTTTTGGTGGTTTGGAACTCCTGCCCCAATTTTGAGCTTCCCGCGCCTTTAA